CAAGAATATTCCAGAGAATAAAACATCGGAGTTAATCAAGTGTACTGTGGAGAGTAAGCCACTTGTACAGTGTCCATATCGTGAGTTCTTCGTACCGATCTGGTTGAGAATGGGAAGCGTAGGAGTGGCCATCTTTGCTTGAAAGCGGGTGAAGAGAGGGCATGAGTTGAGCGAATGATGTCAGTTCTTATGTACGAGAAGTCAGTGAAAAGATCCTCCATCAAGACGATTGTAGGGGAGTTGCGCCTGTGGCGGGTCAGAATCACAGGCCTCGAGGCGTAAGTAAGGTGAATCTGGTAGGACTTAGGCTTCAACCGGTGTAGTCATCTAGGAGATACCCGCTGGACGTGTTCCCCGCAGTGCGCATGGCAGTGTAGCTGGATGTGGTTAAGTCTTTAGTAGGTAACGGCAAGGCGTACGCGTCGACATAGCCGACGGTGACACTTGGAGTCTCCCCTCTTCCCGTTCAGCGACGATTTTGCTCAGACGTACTGAAGGAGAAAGACAAACGGCTACGCATGAGAGTGAGAGCTTCCTTTTGGCATTCGCGACATTTGCTTGATTGCCTAGTGCAGCGAGCTCCGTGGTGTTCGGACGCGCGTTCGCCTGTCCTTCTCCAGCCTGATCACGTAGATTGAAAAATATCGCCCAAAACTACTCCTCAAATTGAGCTTACGGTGACTCAAAGTCGCGGAGCAGAGGGTTTCAAGGAGGATATATCCATGGCGGTCGCAACAACCCGTGCGTAGTGCACGTGGTGGTTCCGGTGAGAGGTGGGGTCGCGTCGATCAAGCCGTGATCGAACCCTAACCCTATGAGCGGCCACATTCGCCGCGACGCCGTCACGTCATGAAGGTATACCACCATGTCTGTAGAAAACTTCATGCACGATATCGCTGGCACTGCGTGCTCCGGCTTGCAGCAGGACTAAACCTACCGCTTTTTTGTACGATCCGGGTAGCTCTCTTCTTTCTATGGAGGAATGGTGTGACATCGCTTAGCCAAGACCGACTAGGGCCCAGGGGACGAGGAACGAGAGGATAAGAGTGGCTGGAAGGTGGGGTGGGCGGAGGGTGAGTTCACGATGGTCTGCTGCAATGGTCAGTTTTTGCTGTTTCTCTTCTCGTGAAATGGTTTGACTGATGAGATGTTTGAGCAGATGCGCCTTCTCCATTGGATTCGTGCACCTTCGTGTCGCAGCGTATAGCATCGCGGAAAACGCACCTGCGCCAGCTCTTACCGCGCAACCTCCAGCCGCCGGTTCAAGCCCAGTCCATTCGTCGTCCCCGCTGTCCCCGCGCACGTCGCCTCCTCAACCTCAACCCCCACTAAACCCACCCTAGCCGCTGCCGACCCAACAAGACCCCCCAAACCCAAACCGACTCCGGAATCCGCCTTCCCCGACATGCACCTCCCGTATCTGCACACAAAGTCTCCCAGATGAACACCGGGTTTCTACCGCTGCTCGTGGACGCGATGTACCAGGACTTGAAGGCGCATAAGGTCAAGAAGAACGCAATTAAGGCGAAGATCCGGGAGGTGTGTTGGACGAGTAAGGTTGGTGGGGGATGGGGGAGCGTTTAGTGCGTGAGGTCAGAAGGAGTTACGGGACAGGTGACTAGTTTGGGATGTTGATTGTGTGCAAGGATAGGGTGCTGATGGTTGTTGTAGCCGATACAGGGCGCCGTGAAGATGGAAGTGGCGTGAGGTCGAGGTGGATCCTGTTGATTCTGTTCGTGTTGTCTTTGCATACCCTACGCTTGCGTGCTCTCCTCCTTTATATTTCATATTCATATTCTTACACTCATCGTCACGCTCATGCGAGAGATCCGCGTCAAGAAAAGAGGTTTGTATGAAAAGACTATTGAACTGATCCTCCTTCGTGTCAAGCTTGCACTTGTCGCCGTTCAACGCGAGTCGACATCATCCCATGGCCAGATCAGCACCGCCCTCTGGATACGCCTACTCCTCTCGTAGATCGATCATACGCCCTTCCCTACTCCCAGGCTGTTGCCCGGCGATCCGACTAACTTACGACGCTTTTTTCCTGTCGAGCGATTCAGTTCACAACTCGGCCTCTGAAACCGACCGGTGACTCACGCTCGCTCAGTGATCCGCCTCTCCTTCCATACCTGGTCCTGCGCCTTTGAACGGAAGATGACGTCGTTCTTATCAACCGCCGTCAACACTCGCACTCTTCTGGCGAACAAGTCTGGTCTGGATCAGCTACTCACGATGGATACCCGTGTCAAGTTCGTCGTCTACAGAGCGATCCCCGGCAAGCATTGCGGGATCGGATACTCTACGTTCAAATGTGACCCCATCGGCTGCAGACGAAAGGGCTAGAGCATGCATGACATTAGCTAATGAGGATGCGCCAGTGGGATATACGTTTGACTGACATAGTCGTTGGTTGGGGATCGGTGACGGTGAAGAGTGTGCGTCGGGGACTACGAGAGTCGTGACAGAGGCCGAGGACGGTGACATTGTCGGCATCGGCGCTGCGAACGCAGGTGTTGTTGCCAGCCTCATGGCGAAGAAGAGAGAGACAATGACAAGCTGAGAGGTGAGGGCGAACATGGTATGGACGAAAGATAGTTGTAACGGTGTATAAGAAACCTCAGGTACTGAAGCAACGCCTGAGAAACGTAAGAAGGAGGATAGAATGAAGAGAAAGTGAAGAAGGTGAAAGTGAAAGTGAAAGTAAGAATGGCGTTCGCTGGCTCGCCAAAGGCTCTTATACGTCTTGAAGCGCTACAAAGACAGCCCCCACGTCAAGGGCAAGCTCGAAGAGTCGGCCCAAATCTGATGATCGACATGGATTGCATGGAGACGACTCAGAATAAGTAAGTAGGGGTGCCAGATAGACTTCGTCATCTGGACCTGGTAGTGTCATTGCACGCGGATTCGTATGGCATTGTTCCCCAACACGGGCAACACGATGCTCACACGGCCGCGCTTGACAAGGGAATGGTGAAAGGACGCGTACGGGTAGGTCGTCGCCGTCCCTGATTGTGCATCTTTCTTTGATCAGTACACGAGCGTTCACGGTTACGATCCTATGATAGATGACATACCCGAGCATGCGCTCATAGAGCTCCAACGCATCGTCTTCGCCTCCTTCATCGCAGCGAATCCTGATTTGGCGTCACTATACGGGCTGATGTGCGTCGTATGGGAATACAGCACATTCCTCTCCCGTGCGACCTATCATGGTTTTGGAAGAAAGGATGGTATCATTATATGTAAACCATGAGTGATTAAATACTGTTTACTTGCAAGTAAACCAACACACGCGAGTCTACTGCGACCTTGCGCATAACGTCCGTATGGCCCTGTGCGCTAATTGATCTCCGTCACCTGATTGTAAGCCTAGAATTGCGTGCAGCTAATCTCCCAAAGAAAAGAACGTTTCCCAGCGGTAACAGCGCGCGAGAAAGATATCAGACTGGCTTCTCTTGAAGTCGTGACACAGCTATAGGTGAGCTCTGATGCACAGGGACCAGCTTGTGCGCTAGGGCAAAGATGGGGCGACTGCAGCTCAATAACGCAGAGCGAAACAACGCGCGTAATCTCATCATTCCTGGTCTAGCGTCAGTTGCATCGTATGGGTTGGCATAGGCAGCGTACTCACTACAGGCGGAATTCGTCGACACGACGGGCTTCTTGTCCCCTGCGTCTGTTGTCGCCGGCTCTTCATCGGAGTCTCCGGAATCGGTGGTAGAGTATAGCGATGAAGTCGCCGAAGAGTGCGAGCGCGCCGCATCCTCCGACATACTGATACGAGGCGGCTGTTCATGCAACCTGGCTGAAACTGAACGATGTCCCAGACGAATCTCCGCATCATCCATGATCCTAGGTGGTCGCGCAATCAGACAACTTTATTCAAGAGAGGAGGGATCAGAGGCGACATACATGTGTATGCGTTTCACATCCTCCAAAAAGTGGACGGGGTCGACAATCTCCGTGATCATATCGAGGTCGTACCAGACGTTCACGATTGGTTTGCGTAGTTGCTCTGCAGTGGGAAGTCTGGGCCCGTGCTCTGAAAGAACGCGGAGCTCGTATTCAAGTTCTCGAATCCGCTTCTTGCGCTGACTCTCAGACTCGGACCTAGGCGCGTCGCCATCGTCGCTTCCGATCATGGAGATGTCATCCGATTCACCATAGAGGGAGAGCGCAGAATCATCGGGCAGGTCATCGCGCATATGCGACGAACCCGCTATGAACTGCTGCGATAGAGAACCGTCGTTGGGAGACTGTAGCAGAGGGGTGGCGTCAACGAGGTCCAAGGGTTGAGGTTGACGCCAGTCGGCACCGTGTTCGTCTCGTAAAGCTTTCATGAGCTCCCAATTGGACTCGAAACAATGGTTTGCGACTCGAATGAACTCCTCGTCGAGCATAGGTAGAACTCCATAGTAGTCCCTCTTGGTAGACGTGACGCGGCATGCGAAAGGGAATCCATATGTCGCATCTATATAACAGTCTTCCCATGGTAAGGGTTGAGCCGGACAGACAGGCTCGCGTGATGCGACTTGATGAGTGTTAGGGAGGATTGCGACGCATGAATCGGGAGAGTCGTAGCCAGGGAGCCTGCCTTTGGGCAAGCCCTGCCTTACAAAGTGAAAGTCGTATGGGTGCAGCGGGTTCGACTCCATTGGCAAGAGGTGGAGCTATGACTGGATCAACAAGAGTATCATATGTCATGGAGCACACAGCGCACCTCCTTCGCCAACGCTAAGTATCTCCGAACGGGCAGTAAGGCAGCGGCTTCCTTCGCGACGTGGTCTAGGTGACTGACAGAAGCGACCGGGTCGATAGACAGTACAACGAAATCACCCAAGTTGGGTGCTATCATCTCCAGTTTCGTACGCAGCCATTCGCGCGCCTCTGGATGCTCAAGGTATTTTTTCGGGCCCGTAGTAGATTCCGGTGTAAAGGATCGCCACGTTGATATGCTCCGAGTAGAGTCGGTCGAAACGCTTGGCGATCGACTGGATAGCGACATATTCGGGATGGAGATTACAGCAGACGAGTAAACAGCAAGAGAGCCGGTTGTGATGACGAACACGAACGCTCATGCGGTGCATTATGAGGATGTGGTATACAATTGCCTCGTGGTGTCATGGGCGTTTGGGAAGAACAATAATTGGCGTTTTCCGGCTGTCGGACCGAACACCAACAGCGCATCATTGCATCATCAGCTACTGTAGCTCTCCGCGACTGTCTATTCTTCAGACTCTAGATCCACCGTTCAAGCTGAAGACAATTGCACACCGATGTCCATCACAGCCTTGCCTAAGCAGACCAGTGAGACCGGTACTGTGATCATAGACGTTCACTCGTGTATTACTAGTACTACTGAAAGTTACAGATGCCCGGAAAGTACCTCACCATCGATTGCTGTCGCCAGCACCTTTGTCGCCATCATGTCTTCAATTGGAACCTGCGGGAAAGCTTCGTTAGCTGTCAGGCTCAAAGATACAGTTGTCTGAAAGGGAGGACCTTCATAACGTCTTGTGAAAGTACTACGAAGTCTGCGCGCTTTCCAACCTCGAGCGAGCCAAGCTCATTCTCCGTGAACGAGGCGTACGCCGGATCAATGGTGGATCCTACACGTCTATCAGCCTTCGGCAGGAGTAACATGTTCAAGGCATCGTACCGCGTAAGACCTCGAGTCGCGTCAATCTCTGGTCTGGGAACCATCCATCGGGGCCGTGCGGGCTCGTTCCATCGAAGCTAGTGCGAGTGAGCGCCGCATACATGCCAGCTACTGGGTTCATTGTTTCCACGGGAGAGTCGGAACCAAGTGTTATGCGCGAACCAGCGTCGATGAGCTTGCGGAATGCATAGAGGCCTTTGATTCGCTCAGGACCCTACAGGACGACGATGAGTGCCGAAGGAGCATGATGAAAGGTGAAGGTAACTACCAATCGCTCCTCGGCATACCACATGTCGTCAATGGCATGCGTAGGTTGTATGCTTGCAATTACTATAATCATCAGAGCGTCATAGTCAGCGCCAGATCTCATGGTAATACGCCGACGGTGTACTTACCACCGAGCTTGCCCAGACGCACAATGTCCTCGTCAGTCATGATCTGCGCGTGTTCTATTCGCGGCCTTGCAGCGGTCACATTCACGCCTGCCAGAGACTTTTCGAGCGCCGTCACAACGTGCCCGTTGGCGCGATCGCCAATGCCGTGTACGTTCTGCGTCATGCGAGTGAGTGACACACTTGGCATGAGCCCGACATCGTACGTACCACTTGCCAGCCGTCCTCCAAGAACATCGGGATGACCTTCTCGAGCACTTCGACTGATACACGCATGAAGCCTTTGTTACCCGGTTCATCCGAGTAGTCCTCGTAGAGCTGGTATTCACGGACTAAGGAAACGCTTCAGGGGTGGGGCGTCAACGACACGCACGTAAGAGCTACGACTTCTCAACGAGCCGTCCGCTACGATCTTCACGCTGCGTTGCGTCCACCTTCCATTGCCCGCACCGTAGACGCGCGCGGTAGTGTTGCCCCAGTAGCCCGCCATGTCACCGTCGAAGAACTTCCACCCATGGAAGCGCACTTTGAGATTGCCGGCAAGAGCTTGACGGTGGAAGAAGTCAAGCTCCTCCTGGCCGAGCTTCGCATCGTGAATCGAGGTGATACCCCACGAAAGCGCATCGTTCATGGTGTACGTGAGCTTCTTCAGCAAGTCTGAGTCGGTCAACTCAGAATACGCAATGAGATCCTGTGCGCTATCGACAAAGACGCCTGATTACTAGGTAAGCATCGGGGTGATCTGACGTGAGACCATGATCAAGTACCTGTTTCTTTGCCGTCGGCATCGCGCTCGATCTTGCCCCCCTCGACCTCTTGAGGATACGGCGCGTTCAGTTCGAGAGTCTTGCCAGAGACCCAATAGGCGTGTGCGTCCTTGCTACGCAAGACGACTTGACGACCGCGTACGACGTCATCTGCGTCCAGATCAGCCTGCCGGAGAGTATCAAACAATCAGCCTAGGCCGTGGGGTTGACTAATCACTAACAGCAGTAGGCAGTCGTTTCTCGGGCCAGATTGTTGCATCCCAGCCAAAGCCCTCGATGATCTTGGACGTATTGTGCAAGATGTCGGGGTCGGATAGAATGAGCTCGCGTACAAGAGCGACGGCAGCTGTGACCTGAGTTCAGTACTCTTGTATGCGAGTGATGAGCCTGAGCGTACCTGGTATGCTCTGCGCCGTCTCGAGCTCCAGCATGCGATAGTTGGCGTGCAGGAAGCTGTGCATGTGCGATTCTAAGATGAGGGCAATGTCACGGACCCGTCGACTGCAAATGCAGAACACCTAGCTTACCGGTCATCCCGGGAAGGATCATTGAGCCTTTGGGTGTCACAGCGTAGCTGATGTCGGGCCATCTGCTCTTCACATCCTCTGCAGCGAGATGTTGGTCAGCCAACCGTAGCAGTATGCACAAGACATGCAATAGCCGACCTTCACTCCCAACATCTGCGATGAGCGCATCTTTGACGACCATGCATTGTGTAACGGAGTTTGTCGCATCGATAGTGTAGAGACCGTCAGCATCAGGAGAGCAAACAGCATAGGTTTTGTCGACGGAGGTGCCACCATAGAAGCCATGATGCCATCGTACAGCCCAGTACGCCGCGGCAGCTGTCGTCACAAGGGCTATGCGAGCCCACCGAGAGCGCCGGATACCTATCACAGGTCCAGCAGATGGTTGCGCAGCGGCCTTTTCGCCCTTGTTGGTGCTCATGATAGACTTGGAGGTCCAAGTTCCCCGCGAATTCGAAGAGGAGCGTGTTACAGTAACACAGTACCCTCAGCCTCGGAGGTGAGCCTTAGGGTTCAGATACAAGCCTCAGGGCTGGTATCTGATAAGCAAAGGCGGGCGGTTCCGTGACCGTTCGGGTCCAAGTCATGGTGGAAGAGTTCCATGTTGATCGAGGAGCGGGCTCGGTTATTGAATCCAGGGCAGCGTGCGAGCCACGCGTCGACCGCATGATGTAACGGCCAGCTGGCTCGCGCGTTGCACCTAAGTGACGCCCCTTGATCTGACAAGAAGCTAGTGAGCTGGGCCGCCTTCCCACACTGCTTCCGTGCAGGGCGCAGCCGTTCAGCAGTACCCAGCGCGTTCAGCACTTCGGGATAGGTACGGATGGCGTCACTTAGCGCAGAACGCTGAAGGGCGAGCCCGGAAGTTCTCTACAGAACTCCGGCCGCCCGGCCCTGCTGTCCGAGGCCTGCTCGCTGCCCGAGGCGTCTCCGAGCGCCCCTCCGCGCGATGAGCTCGGCCCCTACGCGTCCCCCGCCTATATCTCCCGCATCTGGCGGCCGATTTCTATATAGCTAGTATGTAGAAGCTTGGAAAAAAATCTAGTATTTGATTTTGTACTACACTAAGCTATGGAAGCCCAGCTTACTGCTGGGCGTACGACTTTGCGCTGAAAGCCTGAGGGCCCAGCGAAAATTGACCGGATCTCCGCGCCGACCTGGTCGGCCTTCTTTGATGGAAGGCTTCCCTTTCGGGACGTGATGGCTCGCTGGCAGCGCGTACTCTGTCCCCGGTCCCGTCCCCCGCCCGTACCTCCTACTGTGTGGTATCTATGGTATCGTAGAGACGTCTGCTACCTCGCCAGACGTACAGTACAGCGAGGGAGGGAGGAGGAAGGGCAGAGGCTGGCGGCCTGCGGCACGACCCTGGCTCTAGCCCGTTTTGGAAAGCCCGAGATCACCCGGAGACCTCCCGCTCGTCCCCGTCCTCGCCCTCCTGCCCCTTCTCCTCCCCGCCCAGAGCGGCACTGAGTACGGACGGAGCAGCAGCACACAGATTAGTATGTGTATGCACTCTGGGCAGGGAGGGAGGGACGCATACGGGCGGAGGAGGTGAAGGGACTGGGCCGATAAGCTCGCCGCGCTATTCCCGATTAGGCGATGATGGCGGGCCTTCAGCCTTGCAGGTCCTACAGCGTACTGGCCGTAGGGCTCTGTCCAGTGCACGTACCGGGTCGTGTGTGGTACGTGCAGGTTGGTATGGCTCCGCGGTATCATAGGGCATACTGCAGTAGGGCGGGACGGGACGGATACAGTGCGTAGAGGCGCACTGATCTCACCGGCTGGCGTGGTCAACAAGCACCCACAACTCGCGCTGGCGAGCGGTAAGTCGCGTACAGGTCGCGTATTGCATATATATTGTCTCGGTGCATCGTATTCCGTACATATTACACAAATCGAATATACATTAACCATCTAGTTGAGGCAGAATAATCTCTGCCAGTCGCTCAACACCTTGAGGGTCCTCATCCTCGTCCGAGTCGCTGTCCTCTTCGCCGCCCGCACCCTGCTGCTCCCCTCGTTGTTGCTGCTCGCCCGCAGGTGTCTCGGGAAGCAACGAGTCTGCTGCCTTGCGCTTGGCCGGTATAGCTCGCGAAGCCGCCGGCTGGGGACCAGCATACCCCGGGATCTTGTAGATCTCCTCCAGACGCTTGCGAATGCCGTCGTTAATCGCGGCACGGCGGTGGCGAATGCGGTCGAGGTAAGCGGCGAGCGGGGCGTCGGTCAGCTGGAGGCGATTGATCGCATCGGCCATATCCCTGTCCTCGCTGTCGACCCAGTGGTGTAGGCGCCAGATCTCGACGTAGCAGCGTTTGAGCTCGACGCGGGCGCCTTCGAGCTTCCACCACTTGTTTGCGGCCTCGTGATGTTCAGCCTTCGCCCAGGCTTCAGCTTCAAGATCTTGGGTGCCGGCGATGATGCGGTCGAAGGCCGCGATGTCGGTCATCTTGACGACGTCCTCATACTCTACGCGTGGTGCCTTGTACTTCGGGGCCAGCTTGTTGTACGAGTCGATGGCGTTCTTGAGGGCCTTGCTGCGTCGTCCGAGAGAGGCGGAGACATGGTTCCGTAGCTTATATCCTGTAATATGTCTTAGTACTGTTGAAACACCTCCATTATATGACGACGCACCTAAGCCGATGGCGTGCAACTTCTCCATCTCCATCATACGTGCGATAACAAGCCCTCGTACAGCCTCTGCCGCCCGAACGAACTCTTTCCTCGCCATATATATCGCCGTCTCCTTGTAAAGCTCACTCTCGGGCGTCCAACTCTGTCCCGGAGATATCTTGAGGACGTCCTCCCAGTGATGGAGCGACGTCAAGGTCCGATTGACAGCTTGTTGGGCCCTAGCGAGCTCGCGCGGTGCGCTACGCCGGTCGTATGCGCCCAACGTTGTGTCGGCTGCCTTCGCCGCGGCTTCCTTCTCCTTGAGCCTGTAATAATGAATGGTTTAATGGGGCAACTGCGTGATGTGGGTGCAATCACGTACTCGTTGGCCCAGAGCTTTTCGAGCGTCTTCACGTATTCGACGTGTAAGGTCGTGAGCTCGGGCTCCTTCTTTGTCGCATCCCTCAAGAACACCCTCTCCTTGTCAATCCAACTGCGCAGCTGATCCTCGGTGACAGGCACTTCGCGCATGAACTTTGCGACGGCGGCGGTGTTCTCGAAGATGATGCCCAACGATTGCTTGACGTTTTGCAGCAAGAAATTGCCTATGAGGGCTGTAAGCATAGGTAGAAAGCATGACGCAAAAGGAACATACCAGATGCGGCATACCGGTCTTCATTAGACTGCCGAATATGCATGTCCATGGCTTGCTTCCAGCGATAGTTGGACATGTTGCGCGTGATGCGAGCGCAGGCATTGAGAACTGAAAAGATCCTCTCCGAGATGGAGAGATCCTCTATGCCTAGCTCGGGCTTGTAGATTGGGTGATAATTGAGCTGGCACGTCCGCTTGTGTGCCCAGCAGTGAAAGGCGTCGACCACAATTCTGATACGCTTCTCGTCGAGCGCCTCAGGGCCGAACGAGCTGCGTCTAAGAGTGCCCTCGAGCACGCAACCGATGTCGTAGCCGACGACAATGTCGGAGCCGTAATTGTCGAGGACGAAGCGGATCGCGGCAAGGGCATACTTAGCACTGTAGCACTCATTGTCAGACATGCAAGATATGAACTATGAAAAAAAGATACGCACAGCTCGCCCGACTGTACCATCTCGATGACAAGCTTCACAACGCCATGTCGACAGACGAGGATGTAAATGCCCGATTGCTCCAGGGCTTCCTTCGTCGCTGGCGGCATCTCCTTCCCATTTGCTGCCTTCCAGGTATCCGCACATGGATCATAGTCTAGGCGGACAAACCCAGCCTCGTCCACCTCAACCTCCACCTCGTCGATGTCGTTCTCCTCAGCATTTTGTGCAGCAGAGGAAGTGGCGCCGGTCGATGACGAGGATGGCACAGCACCAGCTGCGGTGGTGGATGCGGGCGTAGTGGCGGATGCGGGTGCAGGTGCGGTGGCAGCGGCCTTTGGCTTTCCCTTCCCCTTCTTGGCTGCGCGACGCGATGCAGCGTCAGCTTTGCGCCTAGCAGCTGTATCGCGTACTTCATTTTGATACCGGTTCACGAACTCGCGCGCCGCAAAAAATGGCGAGTTGAACTCGCGCTGATCTGCACGTCCTGCGGCCTTCATGCGTTTGTGCGAGTCGCAGCCGTCCATTGCGAACATGCCGTCAGGTTTGGGGATCTCACCGGGAAATGTTGCATCAGCAGCCTTGAGAAATATCAGCAGTGTGAAGGGAAATCATAGAACATGAGCGCACCTTGTTGTCGCAGGCGCCACAACCGTTCTTAACGTGAAAATCCACGCTGCGCCCAAGAACGGCGTCTACGAGGGCATCCGCGCGTTTGAGAACCTCGAGGTATATGTCAAAGGCCTGCCTGAAGTTCAGCTGCAGGCCTTGAGTATAATGTATCTGTGTAAGTGAAGTTAGAACAGCATAAGACAGAGGGGATGGCGATGTTGAGCAGATAAAGGCGAGAGCTTACATTATGGAAGTCACACTGGGCGCGCAGGATACCTTGCATTCCTGACCCAGGCATCTTCTTGCGAGCAGAGTGTGCATAGCGGAGGAGGTCGAGATGGAAGGCAACGCTGGGCGTCACAGGGGTCCCGCCGATGTAGCCGTGTCTCATGAGGGCGACGTTGACGTCTTCACCCTTAGCGACATGTATTGTGATGTCGTTCGGGCAATCAACTGAGTGGGATGTAAGCAAAGGTTCAATGTCAGTATATCAATGAAGGGGACGCACCATTGTAATGTACTCCCTTGATCTTGATATCGTGAGCCTCCCTCGTAAGTTCGACGTTTGGCAGCAGAGTGCTACGGTCGGCATCGGCAGCAGCGGGCACAGTGGAGCGTTGTTGTGACCATTCAAGGTATGGGCGGATAAGGGAAGGGAGAACACGTTGCCATGAAAGCTCGGCATTCTGGCGGCGCTGGGCGCGGGACTGCGAGACGCGCACTTTCAGATTACCGGTAAGGAACCTAGGACACAGTATCAGTATATTATATTGGTGTGTTGAAATTAACTTCACGCACCCGAAGATCCGTTTGGCTTTTCTGGAATCTGTGATCCCATATGCGGCCATGAGATTCGACGCGGGCTCCTCAACAATTCGATCCCAAGCGTCCTCGTAATCGTCGTCGAGATCAACGTCGTTGAAGGTGTCGTTGAAGTGATTGAATCCATCAAAGACATCTTCGTCGGCGTTGAATGGGTTGAAGCCAGCGGCAATCATGGCATGTTTGGCTCTCTCCCGTACTGTGAAAAGGTCAGTCGAGATCTGAGATTGATTAACGAGTTAACGTACGCTCATGGATCCTCCTAGTTTCTTCATCTGCCCGCACCTGGGCCTGGTATACCTGCCAAGTAGAGAGCCGGATGCGTTGAATACCGCGAGGCTGTGTGGTGAGGTGCGCGGGTGGGAGGTTTCCCGAGCCGGGAGGTGCGCGTTGTGGAAATCGTGGTTTGGACCGCATTTCCACGGCGCCATTGGTAAGGCCGCGGCCGCCACTCTTGTTGATCTTCGCAGACTTGCGCATAGCAAAGCAGGATGGCAAGGCAGAATTAATGAGTGTAAGGGAGAGAGCGTGAATAATATAGGCACAAGCGGGATGAGAGTCGAGGAAGAAGAAGTGCGTGCGTGCAATCAACAAGATAAGATTCATGTGACCGCGTTCCGATCTAGATTCGCGAAGTCGAGAAGCCAGTCAGGTTGCTTTTGACGCCCAACTTCGCGCTCATCGCCACACACACTAGACGCCCACAATGCCTAAGCTTCAACCCTATCCGCAGGCCTATGCGATGGACACAAGTCCTGGTGCTGCTGTGTATGCTAGCGAGTTTGGGGTCAAGAACGTCGTTGTGTACAGTGGTGTCGATTATCTCAGACAGTGCACTCAGTGCGCGCGCTCTCTCTCTCTCTTGCAGACAGTCAAGCTAACTATTGCAGCATCGAGGCTATCCTGTCTCTCCAAGATGCTGACGGTGGATTCGCGGTACGTTACGGCTCGGAGGAAGAAGCCCAGAGGGCTCTCACTGTCCACCATTCCCGCCATGGAATATATGAGGTAGTCGATATCACCATGCCTGATGTGAACGCTGCAGCGGTACGTCGCTGCTATTTGACATCCTCTCATATACTTACTTTTCGAAGCGTGGCGAGATCACCAACGAGAGGCTCAAGAAGCTCAAAGCCCGCCTTATCGATGGCCCTGCGCCCGCACTTATCCCAATCGATCCGCCCAACCTTACGCCTTATACTGACACCGCCTCTCTCCTCACCCACTTGGCCCCGCCTTCCCCATTCTCCATGCCTTCAACTCCCTCGAAGGCTAGTGGCAACTCAAACTCGATTGCCGCCCGCTTCGAACAAGCCGGTACACCCCGCTCGCGTCGGTCGCCCAACCTCAGTGCGCTCGCAAAGCTCCCCGGCTCCCCAATTAGGCTCACGAGTGGGCCAGACTGCTATTGTCTGACACCTGCTGCCGTCGCGAGCGCCGATGGGAGAAGGAAGGGCTTGCAGTACACTGTACGTCTACCTTGTTACTAATCACACATGAATCTGACTTGACAGTCACCCAAGGATAACTGGCGCCCTCCCACAGACTGGTCTCCGACGCCACTAACACCTCCCTCCGACGCTTCGCCCAACTGGATGCCGCGCAACGGTCCCGGTGAAGGACCCTGGCATTTGGTGAGGGTTGGCAGGACGCCTGGCATCTATGCGAGCCTGTATGCAGCTTTCTCTCGCCTATTTTTCTGAACTTTGGCTGAATTTATATCAGCGAAGATGCGCATAACGCGAACCGCAGCGGCGGCGGCTACTTCAGGTCCTCGGAGTTTGATTCCTTCGAACTCGCTGTTGCGGACTGGGTCAGCCGCTGCAAGACTGCAGGTTTCGCCATTATCACCGACCATGCACACTAGGGGGCCAGTAGCAAAGGGACTGCTGTATGATTGATTTGTAATGTAGCTGTTGTACCTGAATACGTGATGAATCAATTGGTGAAACTGCTACTAGATGGCTAAGTGCCATTTTTTGAGTGGACTGTGTTTATTCCATGCAGACTAGGTAGAACTTGATGCCATCAATTTGCCATGTGTTGGCAGAACTTGCCAACACGTGGCAAACTACTTTCCCACGGATTGGACACCATGTCCAATGAGTGCGTGCTGCACTATCCCAATAGATTATATGTACACTCTAAACTATGGACATGAAGATAGACACTATGACAACAGTGTAGCCTGATATTGAGGAAAGAGAGGAGCAGAGAAAGCAAAGGTGAATATACTTCCCGCAGAGAGGCAGACGAAAGACGACGTCGCGGAATCAAGCCAGGATGCTCTACGCACCCTTGACTGCTTTCCCCGCACTTTCGTGTCATACGAGACAAGATCAATAGGTATACCATCCAAAGTTCTTCCTGGGAAAGGAGGGAAGATATCCCATACATACTATCACAGTGCGCACACTATACGGTTGTGATTTAGTACTGTATTTGGTGTTGACAAATGTCACGCTGCGAATGAAGCACCTTGAAGCAAGCAACGGTGTTCACCCCATCAGTTCAACTCCAAATGTTCCCATTTCTCTGGGAATGTAAGAAGGATACTGTATATAATGTAGGCCCTCTCTTGTATCTACTGTATGCTACCTCACGACAGGGCTGTGGCCGGATGCAGATGTCATGTTGAGGCACCGGCAATCGCCGGGCGGCAGGCACTCAGACCCACCCAAACCGTGCTTGCGTTCGCGTCTCTGCTGCTGACGCCCACCCCCACCATCCATCATGCCTCCCTCGCGCACTATACCCGCTGCCGTTCGTCTGGCATACGCTGACCTCCATCTGGCTCCGACCCTCAGAGAAACGTTCGTGGATGATGCCTTCGACGTCGACACCAACCGGGAGTTTGAAGAGGCCGAGGCCGAGCTGGGTTTATTCGACGAAGGTGTCGAGGATGACTTTGAGGCGCCCCTTGCTGGGCCTGTTGCGCACATGCATGACGCAAGGTGCGGTGACTGACCATTCTCTCCTGACAACTTTCTGACAATCTAGTTTAGTGATTTTGACCATGCAACGTTGCGCGATGTTGTGCTCAACAGCATCGAGGCGCCTGATCTGCCAGCAAAGGTGGCCGATCTCTCAGCTGAAGCGAAGCGCAAGCACAAGCAGCGCACCATTAACCAGCTCAGTCGCAGCCATCTGTCCGCGCCCGATGCTGCGCTCCAGATTGCCGTCCGCCGCATTCTCTATGAGGCAGGCAAATAGTGCGTCTATTTAATTCTTTTGAAGATGAGATGATGACTGAGGTCACCTTAGTATCCAACGCGGAGATAAACTCAATGTCCTCGAGTTTCTCCCCGGAATCCTTGGCGCTCAGGCTCGCGTTCGCCAACTTCACTTGCAGCCCTCCACCACGGACGACGCTCGGCGTGAGCGCTTGATCCTTGGCCGGCTTCGTAAGGCAATGACTCTCGAAGGCGCCGACGACGACTACAAGCGCGGTGTCTTCTCATCGTACATCAAGAAGGCCGTGAAGATGTACTGCGACGTCAAGAACAACAAACCCTTCCTCACATTTGGTGCCTATCGCGCCCAGCGCTGCAGCCATCTTCGATTGATTGCCGGCCTGTGCGAGGAGCGCGACCTCTTTCTCATTGGAGATCCCGTTGCCACTGCCTACCGAGAGGCGCGATACAACATCCTCGAACATGGTGCCCCGTAAGTTCTTTTCATTTACCGAGAGGGCTTTCACTGATTGAACTACTTAGTGTAGTATGCTCCAACCTTGCCGGCACTTTAGGCCTCGAGGGATATATTGAGGACGAGGACTAGGGTTATATTGATAGTAGATTACTGGTACTAGACAACCTATCACAATGGATGTGCATTGAGCTTGAGGGAATGTCTGAGGGGCAGCCCAGTTTGGCAGCCTCGGGGCAAGAATTGTGGGCCACAATAAACACGGACCCACAATCAACAAGCCACACTCGTGACCGCGACTTTAGAAGCGGTTGCGGCGCCTACAACTTGAACTGCCACCTTCTCAACGCGACCCAACGCGAATAACGTGTCAATGGTGCGTTTCTCAGCCATGGATAGTACTATGCAGCCGTGAACCCCCACTCTGGCGCACTGGGATCCCTCTTCTGGGTCCTGGAGGTGACTGAGTGGCTCAGTCGCGAGCACCATGCTCAAGGTGTGCGAAGCGGCGCTTTGGCTCCCACTGGCGCACTGGGACCCCTCACATGGGCCCTGGAGGTGACTTTGGTCCAATGTGCTTGTAGAGCTATCCACGAGCTATTTATCTTGCCGGTCTTCTGCTGAGATAGTGGCTAATATACCGTTCTTACAGGCTTCACGAACCACACGCTCTGGTGCGACATACGCCCTCTTTGAGGATCCTATTCCATACGCCACCACCCTCCCTCTCGAATCCTACATCAAGAATGCAGTCCGCCTCTACGACGCCGTCGAGCGGCATGCCGAGGAGCAGGAGGGCGCCTGGTCCCCCACATCTCCCCTCACCCCACTATCCGAGGACGATGTCGCGCCACCGCTTACAAGCTCCAACTCTCGCAGCTCCGTATCTCCCCAAGATGTTCTTGACGCCCTGAACGATCTTCTTGACAACCTAGACGTTGTCGAGAAATTGCAGGGGCCCCATACGCCTTCGACGTCACGCGGGGATCCGGCGCCACACGCACCCGCACCCCTCAACTGCGACTACTCCTCCGATTCTAGCGGGTATTCCGACCCGTCCATGGTAGGATCAAGAAAGCGTGCGCGGGGTAATCGTCAGCGTAGGAAGGAGAAGGAGAAGCAGAGGAAGGAGTTGGAGAGGGCGAGGTTAGAAAGGGAGAGGGAGGCTGAGAGGAGGAAGGGGGATTCGCGCCCAGCGCCCAGCACCGTGCTGCCTAAGCCGCCGGGTACAGGGAAGTCTTCGGATGGGAAGAAGGCGTACAAGAAGAGGAAGCGTGCTGATAAACGCCGTGCCGAGCGTCAGGATGCGGCCAACGCCCAGCCGTATGACAGGAAGCACTCCCGGCCCTTCTTCCAGCACAAGCACGCCACGGTGAAGGAGATTAATCTCACCACATTCAGAGTACGTTACACAACACGACGCGGTGGATACGTTGCGCCATCGCACAACATGCACAAAGTTACAACTGTGGAGGAGTTGAGGGAGATGGGGATCGAGGAGCTCCATTGGAACGGCACGTACGTGTGGCGCTCAGTTCATAGCTCATGTTCGCGCTGACAATCTCCTCATAGTGATACCTTAGTGCTCCTCGATGCAAAGGACCGCATATTTGCGGTTCTGCTAGGCGCGCCCAAAGGTCTCTCAAACGACGAGAGAAAGTCCTGGGAGGCGGCAATGGCGGAGTTGGCCACGACTCTCGAGCGTCTTCGCGCCGAGAACCAGGCTTCGTTCGACATGCACCACAGCCGGGGCGACTTTGCTGCTTTTGCAGCGGGGTTTACAGGTTCGAACGGTAAATCGGTGCGTATCTAATACTTTATATTTGCAGGGTATTGACACATTCCGTAGTCTCCATCCAACCTCAAGTTTGAGAACAACGGCCACCGCGCTGTCGCAGAGGAGCTACTCCAGGATGGCAACATGCGACGCCTGGCTGGATTTGCCAGTGGTATGCCGCCTCGGCCCATGCTGAATATTGTAAATTCTTACTATATTCACAGCCGCCCTCGCATACTATTTCCCGCTCATCTACATGCACATGTGTGAGCGGCTGCGCGCCCTATGTGAGCATGACCCGAGCCTACGCTTCCCTTTTGGCGGGATCAGTGCTTACCCCACTATCACCTTCAACATGGGACCGGTCTCGATAACGTTCGGCCACAACGACGGCACAAACTACGCCGGGATTCCATGCTCAATCACGTCGCTCGGGTCGTTCAACGCTGGCGAAGGGGGGCACCTCATCCTGTACGACGTCGGCGTGTACTTCCAGTTTCCGGCTGGATGTACAGTCCTCCTCTCGTCGGCAGGACTGCGGCACGGAAATACGCCGTTAGCATCCGCAGAGGAACGGCGGTATAGCGTCACGCAGTATTGCCAGGGTTCGCTGATCCGCTGGGTGGCCCGCGGGTTCCGTCCCTCGGGCTCCTTGTCGGATGCCGAAAAGGATGCAGTTGATCTTGAAGCAGGCGAGGGTTGGGCATCTCAATACCTTAGATTTTCGACTTGGACAAGTGTTGCAGAGGACAGGGAGAGGTTGAGGCTTTGGGAGCAGAGTAAGTAGACGTCGGAGTTCAATGTCTCGGTAGCATATGGACGATGTGCTACATATTCGATCATTGGATGCAACTTTTCCCCCCCGACCCCTCGAGCCAGCCAATTGGCTCTCCCGGAAAGCTAAATATCTAGGGCCTGTGACGAATGCGTCGCATCAAAAATATAAAATACTCAGGTCAGTCCGTCTGGTTCGCCGCCCTCTCGCCTCGTCCCTTTCGGAATTTAGACTGCTTACCGCTCGGGCTCTCTCATGTCTACTGACGGCCAGCTGCCGCAGAAGCAGCGGCGGTCTGACTGGAACGTTCAAAAGTCCATCAAGACTGCAGACTGTCAGGAGTGGTTGGGGGAGAAGTGGGCTACGTACAAGAGCTGGGCCGAGGATGCGGAGACAAAGTTTGGGCTGTAAGTCACCCTCCAATGCCTGAAGCCTCTATAGTCGCTCACTCATCTATAGCTCCGAGCATCGCTTCAACGCCAGCATTATAAGCGAGACGTTCACGTCATCGAAGGCGCGGGGTCTAACGAAGTGGAATGCCACTCTAGCGAACGGCTACTCCCGTGCAAAGGACGGTGAGCTGCCCCTGTTATATACCAATGCAAACGTTAGACTCACACGTTTATATAGATTTCGCAGCCGGTCGTATCAAAGACAACCCGGGCAAGTATCATGAATGGCTGCCCAAGGCAATGGGAGACATGCAAGCGAAGTATGCAGGCTTGTCGGAAGAGCAGCGCAAGGCCGAAGTCACCGAGTATACGACTCGCCGTAATCTCAACGTCGGTGAGGAGCGCCGGCAGAGGAAACCTGGTAGTGGCTTTTCTCGCTCCGTTGGCGCTACGGGCGACCGTATCACAAAGCTGGTAAGCTACTTTCAGCCCTCTTTTACCTTCACTCACAGAGTCTTAGCTCGACGACTTGAATGAGACTGCCGGCGTCGAATCAATTATCATCATGGCCCCTGGCGACCCCCACCTCCCATTCACTCCCATGCACCATGTTACGGGCACCGCGAAGAGGTTCATGAAGGATGTCGAGCTCGTCAGGAAGGAGCCAGCTGTCGTCGCGAAGATGCTGGAGGGTTATTGTGCGTCGGGTATAGCTGCAGGGCCAGACTTGAATGGTAAGTGATCTACATCTCTGTGTGTCAACTTTGCTTACGCCGCACAGTCTCCATTACAAACACTACTGCGAAGGCCAAGCGCTCCAAGATACGTGCCAGCATTCAAGACGGCCTTGGTGAGTGCACTGCATCGTTTACTTTGCATGGAGATTGTGAACTGACTCTCTTTAGACGAGATCGTGGGGCGCAAGGTTCCAATGAACTACCGCAATCTCGAGGGCGCCATTGTCGAAGAGCTCGGTGTTGCACTCGTCGGCTGGCCCCTCACGGACAAGCCCGTCTCCCAACCCTCAGGCCTCTCTGCGTCGGAACTCGTCAGAGTGGAGAAGGCCCTCGACGACAATACGTTGTGTTGGGTGCGTCTTTCGGAGCAACAGCTCGCAGAGCGTAAGCTTCGCAACAAGATGTTGCAGGATGCTGGCAACTCGGTATACTTCCCTCGCAAGGCCCGCGCGAAGAAGCGCCGCATTGACCAGGTCGAGGCTTAGAGGCCCGCTGTCTCGTTCGTTACTGCTCTTACATTCTCTTTCAGTAATTTCGCGAATGTATACGCCCCCCTAAACTAGATTTATATATCTGGTACTTTTGAACATACTGTACAAGGCTACAAGCTGTGAGACGAAGCGGTATATGCGACTTACCGCTCGCCAGCGAGTTGTGGGTGCTTGTTGACCACGCCTGCAGTTGAGATCAGTGCGCCTCTACGCACTGTATCCGTCCCGTCCCGCCCTACTGCAGTATCCCCTATGATACCACAGAACCATACCAACCTGCACGTACCACACACGACCCGGTACGTGCACTGGACAGAGCCCTACGGCCAGTACGCTGTAGGACCTGCAAGG